GCTACCCCTCGCCTACGTCAAGGCCTTGTAGAACTGGTCAGCATGGACACGTCAGGGCTTGCGGAAGTTCTGTTCCTGGAAGTCGAGTGACATCAGATTGTGCAGTGTTTTTTCACCCCGTGTGGTCAGTGAGCTGCAGGAGGAAATGTGTGTTCCATGATGCAATGCAGTCACGCCCTCAAAAAAAGAGAACCACAATGTTTCTAGCACTGATTGTGTGTGTGTGTGTGTGTGTGTGTGTGTGTTGTGTGTTTCTGATTGAGGTGAAATTCCTGTAAGATACCTATAGCTTTTTAAAATTACTATGATTATTATTATTATTATTTTACTTTTTGGGTCACACCCAGCAATGCTCAGGGGCTACTCCTCGCTCTGCACTCAGGAATTACTCCTTTCGGTACTCCGGGGACCATATGGGATGCTGGGGATCAAATCCAAGACAAATGCCCTCCCCGCTGTACTATCGCTCCAGTCCTCATTATTATTATCTGAAGGAGTTTGAGCCACACGTGGCAGTACTCAGGGCCTGCTCCTGGCTCTGCACTCAGGAATGACTCTTGGAGGGGCCCAGGGGACCATGTTTGTTTCGGAAATGAACCCTGTGGGCAAGGCAACTCTTTCCCTGTTGTCCTTTCTCTCTGGCCCTCACAACCATAGTATTTTATTGATTTTTTTTTTGTTTGTGATGTTAAGGGACAGTGCTCAGAAGCTATCCTGGCTTGTTGCTCAGGAATGATCCCTGCAGTGCTCCAGCGGCCATATGTGGTCCTGGGAATTTCACCCAGGGCTGGTAGGATGCAAGGCAAACCTTAGCCCCTGAGCTGTCTCCTTGGCCCTACTCATAAGTCTGTTTGTTTTTGTTTTTGTTTTTGTTTTGGGGCCACACCTGGCAGTGTTCAGAACTTAACTCCTGGCTCTGCTTTCAGGGATTCTCTTAGTGGAGTTTGGGGAGACCATATGGGGTGCCGAGTGTCAAACGTGGGTCAGCTCTGTGGAAGGCAAACACCCTACCTGCTGTACTATCACTTTAGCTTCCATCCTATAGCATTTTAAAGGGACATGGAGGGCCCGGAGCCATCGTTCAATCCCAGGCTCAGACCAGGTTCAATTCTTGGCACCCCATATGGTTCCCTGAGCCCTGCCAGGAGTGATCCCTGCGCACAGAGTTAGGAATAAGCCCTGAGTATGCTGGGTGCAACCCAAAAATAAGGAAGGAAGGAAGGAAGGAAGGAAGGAAGGAAGGAAGGAAGGAAGGAAGGAAGGAGGGAAGGAGGAAAGGAAGGAAGGAAGGAAGGAAGGTAGTTTTTAAAAATTAGAAAAGAATGAAGTGGGGGTCAGAGCCATTGTACAGCAGGGAGAGCGTTTGCCTTGCATGTGGCTAATCCTGTTTCAATCCTCAGCATCCCATATGGTCCCCCAGGCATTGCCAGGGGTGATTCCCAAGTGTAGAGCCAGGGGTAACTCCTGAGCATCACCAGGTGAGACCCCCCCCCAAAAAAAATATGGAGTGGCATTCAGTCCAGTCACACAAAGTTGTGCAACTGGCCCCTTTGTCTAGTTCTATAACCTTTCTAACTCTCTAAGGGAAATGGGTGCCGACTGCGTAGTCACTGCTATCCCTCCAGCCTCAGGCACTACCCCCCATACCAAGTTCTCTGTGGGCCGATGTTCTTATCACCTAGGATACACCCTGCTATTCTTTATTTCAAGAAAGCATTAGCCAAGGCTCGCTCAGCTGCTCACCCAGCTGCTTACCCAGGCCAGCAGTGCAGCAGGAATTGCCTAGAGACCTCTAGAAGCTCCTGCCTGCACTCCCCCACACTCCTGGGATTTGGAAGTGACTTCAGATGTCGTAGACACCCCCACAGAATGCTATCTGCAGCCAGAGCAAACACACTGCCCACTGAATGTGGTCTCCCTGATTTGGAAAACACTGGGATAAAACCTAGGGATGGGGTGATCCAGGAACATAGGGGGGGCACAGAGAACATGGGAATGTGATATATATTTATTATGATTGTAAATTTTTGGCTTGGTGCGGGGGCGGGGGGCACACTCCATGGTGCTCAGGGGCTACTCCCAACTAGGTGTGTGTGGGTCGTTCATGGTGTTGTTCCATGGACCGTGGTGCTCCTGGTGGTGTTCCAGGGACTGTGTGATGCTTGGGGATCTGATCCAGGCCTCCTGCCTGCAGGAACCTGTACTGCAGCCCTTTGAGTGATGTCCCTGACTTCTAGGGAGGTGACATTTAGTTGCTGCTGGATAGGATCAAGTAGAGAGTAGTCCCATGGTCCCCCAAGACTCCCAGATCACCTGCACCTGAGAAAGAAAGTCAGGCCACATGCAAACTCGGGGAGAGGGGCTGGATGGACCAGTAAGACAGACCTTGCATGCGCCCAACCACGGTTCTATCCCTGGCAATGCATAGGGTTCCCTGATTCTTTCCAGGAGTGATTCCTGAGTATAGAGCCAGGAATGAATCCTGAGAACCACTGGGTGTGCCCCCTTCCCTCCCCCTGCCCACGAACAAAACAAAACACAACTCTGGAAGGAAGGGAAGAGGAAGGCACAGACAGACAAGCGGGTAGGGAGAGCCTCAGAAACGAGACCGATGCCAGTGGGCTAGAGTGGAGGGTTGGGGGGACCCTCCAGTCACCACCCCCTTCTCTTTCAGCTCTCCTGATCTCCAGGACCAGCCCTGCCCTTCTGGCTGGGGCCCACACACAGGCCCAGGAGGCCGTGCCCCTCACCTGCCCTGGCCCCGGACAAGCTGCCCTCCCACCTACCGCCCTTCCCTGGCCTGGTGGGGCCTGGCTGAGGGGCAAGACTGAGCCACGGGGGTGGGGGTGGGGGTGGGGGAAGGGGAACCCATTCCTGCTGTTGCTTCCTCTGTCTTGGCTAACCCCTGTCCCCTGTGAACTCCTAACCATACTCAAAGAGTTCCCCAGGCCTGAGACGAGGGTCAGTAAGGCCCTAGGCCTCTGCCTGCCCTGCCACTGCGGGTACGTGTTATTTATTACAGGGAGGCCTGTCCAGCCCCCACCTGCCCACATAAAGCATTGTTTACACCGCGTCCTGGCCTCCTTCATTTGGGGGTGGCAGGGAGGGAGCTGGAAGAGGTCCTCGGTGATTGAAATACCAGTCCTGGTATTTGGGGTGGGGGTGGGGGGCTAGTGTCTGGGCTGGGCATGGTGTGGGGAGATACAGGGGTCTGTTGGTGGAGTGATCTGGGCACTGTGGGCATGGTCTGTAACCACTCACAGGAAGCCCATGTGGGTGACCCTGATGGCCTTCGTCATGCTCTCTGGAGGACCAGGTGCTGCTGTTGCTTGTCACTGCTCTGGGTCAGTTGGGGTCACCAAGGCTGGGGAGGAGAATTTCGGCCAGTGGGTAAGCCAGGATATAGCTAATAGCCATGCATGTTTGATTCTGAAAATGTGTATTTTATTTGTTTGGTTTCTTTTTGGGTCACACCCAGCAATGCTCAGGGGTTACTACTGGCTCTGCACTCAGGAATTACTCCTGACAGTGCTTGGGGGACTATATGGGATGCTGGGGATCAAACCTGGATTGACCATGTGCAAGGCAAATGCCCTGTTTACTGTAATATCATTCCAGCTCCCGAAAGCCTGCTTTTATTTGTCCATGTAGGGGGAATGCATGGGGCCTGCTGTGCTTGGGAGTACTCAGGGGATGACCATGCAGGATTGATTTTTGTGGGGGAGGGAGGGGGACATACGTGGCAGTACTCAGGAACTACTCCTGGTTCTGTGCTCAGGGATCGCACCTAGAGGTGCTCAGGGGACCTCCTGTATGTGGTGCCTGGGATGGAATCAGGGTTGACCACAGAAAGCAATTGCCTATTTTGGGTGGGTGGGTGGTTTGGGCCACACCCGGTAATCAGGGGCTGGCTCTGGGTATCGGGTATCGTGTGGGGTGCTAGGAATCCAAACAGGCTGGCTCCCTTCAAGGCAAGCACCTGCCCACTGTACTATTGCTTGGGCTGAAAGCCAGTGCCTTAAGCCCTGTGCTGTCTCCTGAACGCTAGGAATTGACCTAGGGCTTAATCATGCAAAGCATGTGCTCCAGTCCTTTGAACCAGTTTCTGAACCTGATGCCTGAAGGTCTGAGGCAGTGTACCTATTGCATATATGACTGTGAATGTGTTCCCCTGGGGTCTGTGTTTTGATGTGTATTTGACACTGTAGATGGCTCCTGTGCATACCCTTGACGCCCTTTATGCTTCTCTGAGGCACAGGTATCCTGGAGATCTGTCCCTTGAAAGGTCTACTTGCATGCGGCAGCTACAGCCCCTCTGGACATCTCCAATTGTTCTGCTACCCCCAAAGCAGCCTTTACGGGTCCTCAGGCGAGGGCTCAGTCCCAGAGACGGGGAATGATCCCCATTTGAGTGAGTTCATCTGCATAGTTGTCTTCTCCGAGTATCTTTCCTAAATGCCTATATACAGAAGCTCAGCGTTGCAGCAAGAGGGCAGGAAGGGGCTGGTCGTGCCCGCTCGCACATCCCTCCCCGCTAGCTCGCCCTTCTCTCAAGGACGTTCAGCATTTCTTTCCGTTATAAAAGGCTCTCATGTAAATTACTTGCTGACCTGCGCATTTGCATATATTTCCCCAACTAACTGCGCAGCCGTTTCCCAAGATCTCACCCCTACTCTCGTACTGCGAGAGGTCAGAACTGTCCCCGTAAACGACGTCATTTGGATGTCACTCCCCGACCCCGCTACGTGTTACGCGCAGCGTTCTCGGCCTGGGGAGGGCGGACCCCGCCATGTAAACGAAATATTTGCATAACCCCGCCTTCCCTCTCCCCAGAGAGGCGTGGCGGAGGATGCAAATGAGTTTCGCCTCGGGCGGGGCCCTCCCACTTCCCCTTCCCCGAGGTGTCCGTGGGGGCCGCTCGCTTCCTCGCCCCGCCCCGCGCGGCTGGCGCCTGCGCACGCGCGTTTCCTGCGCCCGGGCGAGGTCACGTGCTCGGCGGGCGAGGCGGGGGCGGGGCGTCGCGGGCGGTGGGGGCGGGGCATGGCGCGCTGCGCGGCGCTGGGCGGCTGGCACAAACGGCGGCGCCGGGGCCGGAGGAAAAAGCTCGGTGAGGAAAGGGCGCCGAGAACGCTGGGAACCGTGTGGGGGCGGGCGGGGGCGCGGGGGCGCGAGGGGCAGGGCCGGCCGGGAGGGAGGAAGCGCGCCCGGCGCCCCGAGTACTGGCTGCTGGGGGGGGGCGCGGGGGGAGGGGGCCCGGGGTCCCGGCGGTGCCTAGGCCCCGCGGCCCGGCTCGGCCGCGCCCCGAGGCGGCCCCAGGGCCCCGCGCCGAAGCGCGCCGGTTGGGGGCCGCGTTGCTGCGCCCCGGCCCGGAGTGCGTGAAGCCCCTCGGCCCGCCGCCTTTCCCGCTGCGGCCGCGGACCCTTCTCCCACGACACCCTTCCGTCTGTCCGTTTGTCCGTCCAGGACCTCTCTTCCGCCCGGGTGTGGGTCGGCCCCCAGCCGACTTCCTCCCGCTGGGCTCGGGTCGCCCCCCGTCGCCCCGTTCGCGCTCGGGGCGTAGCGACTCCCCGCGCTGCTTTTCCGTCTTCTGCCCCTTTGCTCCCCCGTTCTCTTTGTCTCCGGGCGCCCCAGTTTCCTGTCTGCGGACCCCACACTTTCCACCCCTCCCCTCCCCCCACTCCGGGCCCGGTGTCTCTCCGGAATCCCCAGCACCGAGATTCCGCCGTTTGTGTCCGGCTTGCTGCGGCCCCCTCCCCCCCCCCCCCGCACCCGTCCATCTGTGGGTCCGAGGATGCACCCCTCGTCCAGCTTCCCCGCCAAGTCCTCTGTTTGGGGGTCTTGGACGCGGCCTCCTGCCGCCCTTCGCCCTGCGTCAGTGATTTTTCTCCCTGAATTCCTCGGGTCATTTCCCCCCAACTTGACCTCAGGTTTGGGGGAGTCTAGCCAAGCCTGTCTTCCTCCTGCCCCTACACCCCGTCCCCGGCCGTTGCCTCGAGTTCATCTCACATCCCTTTTTTTACTCTCTCCCTCCAGCCACCCTTTCGGGTCCCTTACCAAGCCCGTAGGGACCACAGAGGATTTGGGGATCGGCGAGCACCCCCCAGGGCACGAGAGGGACCTCAGCCGCCTGCCCTGCCTCACCCTGCCCTGCCCCACGCCAGGCCCAGCCGCCCCGGCCTTCGGCTGCATCAAGTGGAGGAGGCAGAGGCGGAGGAGGGTGGCACCATGGGCCCGGGCCGTGCCCTCCATGCCCGGGGGATGAAGACACCGCTGCCATGGACAGCCCATGCCAGCCGCAGCCCCTGAGTCAGGCTCAGCCTCAGTTGCCTGGTTCTGCAACCGAACCCTTGGACACTGGTCGGGCCAGGATGGGGGTGGAGAGTTACTTGCCCTGTCCCCTCTACCACCATCCCGGAGCCCCTAATGAGGCACTGGGGAGTGGGGGGCCCCGCGCCGTGGCCACTTCTGCCACTGCCAGCCCCCTGCGCGAAGGATTCTGCGGACACGATGGCGGCGAGCTGTGGGCACTGCAGAGCGAAGGTGCTGCGGCTCTGGTCACCAAGGGGTGCCAGCGACTGGCCGCTCAGGGCGCCCGGCCTGAGGCCCCAAAACGGAAATGGGCAGAGGATGGGGGGGATGCCCCAGCCCCCAGCAAGCGGCCCTGGGGCAGGCAGGAGAACCCTGAGGCAGAGGGCGAGGCGGAGGGGGAGAGTGGCCGTGGCTGCAGCAGCAGGGGCAGTGGTGAAGCCAGCGCTGGGCAGAAGGAGGAGGAGTCGGCGGCACCCTGGGCTGCCGAGCGCCTGGCCCTGGACTACATTGTCCCCTGCATGCGGTACTACGGCATCTGCGTCAAGGACAGCTTCCTGGGGGCGACCCTGGGCGGCCGCGTGCTGGCCGAGGTGGAGGCGCTGCAGCGGGGCGGGCGCCTGCGCGACGGGCAGCTGGTGAGCCAGCGGGCCATCCCACCGCGCAGCATCCGCGGCGACCAGATCGCCTGGGTGGAAGGCCACGAACCCGGCTGCAGGAGCATCGGGGCCCTCATGGCCCACGTGGACGCCGTGATCCGCCACTGCGCCGGGCGGCTGGGCGCCTACGTCATCAATGGGCGCACCAAGGTGAGGCTTAGGGGCGCTCCGGGAGTGGGGGAGGGGCCTCCCGGGGCCGGCTTGGGCACCTGGTTCGTGGTGCGCGTGCCTTGTGGGGCCAGCGGAGGGTTTGGGGGGCCGTGTTGGGGCGCAGTTGTGTGCTTGGGGGACTCGGTCGTCCTTTCTCTCCGTGGCCCTTGGCTGCTGGTGCACCAGTATGTGGGAGCTCCGCCGGTCGCCATAATGTGTCGGGACCTTGCCAGGATTTGCCCAGAGATTCAGCCTCTGCTAATGGGGTAGGAGGTAGGGTGGGATTCGAGATCTCTCCCTGGGCTCCAGAGCAAGAATTGAGCTGCGGGGTCATTGGCAGCTCTCTACCCCTCTTTTTTTTGGGGGGGGGAGGGGTTCAACACTCTGAAATGCTGAGGGTTAACTCCTGGCTCTGCACTCAGGAATCGCTCCCGGTGGTGCTCAGAGGACTGTATGGAATGCCTGGGATTGAACCAGGGTCGGCCACATGCAAGGCAAGCGCCCCACTTGCTGCTACCGCTCTGGCTCTGAGCCCTCTTTTTTTGTTGGTCCCCTCTTTTTTCCTGTCGCTGCCCACTGGCGTATTGGGTCCATCCCAGTCCCGATCTCTTTCCCAGGCAGGAGAACTAGGAAGCAGAGGGGGCAGGGGGACAGTGGTGTTGCCAGTGCCAGGCTGAGGAAGGTGGCGCCTGGCACTGGACTGGGCTTGTGCCCTGTGTGTGCCATACTGTGGTGTCTGCGTCAGGACGGCTCCCAGGTGCCAGGGTGGAGTGCGTCTCCCCTCTGCCCTAGCCCTTCATCCTGGCGCTCTGGTTTGACCTTTGACCCTCAGCCTTTGAGTCTCTTCTTGGTCCCTTTTTCTGGCTGCAGAGGTGGAGCTTGGGGAACTGGGTCTTGCTGATCTGCTGGCGCCAGAGACCTACTCTTAGGGGGAAAACTGAGTGGGGGCCAGGGACATAGATCAGCGGGTGGGGCATTGACCTTGTGTGTGCGGAGTCCGGGGTTTGAGCACCAGCACCTCTCACTGGCTTCCACAACAGCTAACAAACACAAAGAAGGGCTCCTGGGTCAGAGTGCGGTTGTCAGGGTTACCAGCCCCACATATTGGCCCTGTGCTATGATCTCTTCCTAGAGGGACCCCCCTGAAGGCCGGCAGTAGGGAGCCCCAAATGCTCCCCTGTGTGCTTGATGCCATGCCCTCAGCCCAGTCACTGCTTCTCTGCTAGTTCCTACTGACTGGGGAGGCCATAAGGGCCAGTGGTAGAGTGGACTGCTCTGCACGTCTGTGTCCTAGGTCCCAGAAGAGGAACATCAGCTCAGTCCCTGACAGGGAGGGGGGGCGGGTGTGAGTGGATCCCCCTTGGATGTCTTTGGCACTCACCTCAGATGGGGCTGAGTTCAGCTTCTGGCTGGGATTGGGCAGTTGTTGGGATTCACTTAACCCCGGGTGACCCCTGCTAGGTGAGAGCCAGCGGGGCTGGGACAAGGGGAGGAGCCGGCAGGCGCTGGCCACATGGGGCTGGGTTCACCGGTCCCTCCGCTCACGGCCCTATAGGTGGGGTGCACTTCCCCTGCCTCCTGGAAGCCTTGGGCTGCCGACCCCCCCTCACCCCCCAAGGCCTGGCCCTGGTTTCCCCTTTAAGAGCTGCCTGGAGGTGGGGCCTGCAGCTTCTGGCTTAGTTCCCAGCTCTGACTTGGGAGCAAGTGTGAGTGTTGGGAGGTGGGGGGTGAGGGATGAAGGGATGATGATGCGGGGGTTCTGGCCCTGTGTCGCCCGCAGCCTTTAACTCTTCAGTCTCCTGGCTCCAATCCCAGACACCCTTTGCCTGTCGCTGCTGCTATCCTTGAGCACTAGGCTCCCCCCGTGGAGGCAGGTCGTGGATGCCCTCCAACCCAGGTGTGAGCACGGGTGGAAGAATGGGGCTTGCAGGGCCAGCCTCCTTACAGGGGGTTCTCTACCTGAAGCTCAGAGGGGCTCTGAGGAGCCAAGCCTGAAGGTCTGCAGTAATGCACCCAGAACAAGTCAGGAACTGCTGGCACTGGGAGACTTGGTGCCTCTAGTGGGGTGGCCATGGTGCTGGAGGCTCCCGGCCTACAAAGAGAATTCAGCGGGTGCAGAAGCAATGGTGGAGGTGGCTGGTTGGGGGCTGGAACAGAGTGTAGCCGCTTGGCGCCTTGGAGACTGGGACTTGGAATTGGAATTTTCTCAGGCGGCAGTGAGGGGTGGGTGAGGGCTAGACCATTGGAGCTGGAATAGGGGGCTCCCGCACTGGACTTTGTTCCCTGGGTCTTGGGTCCTCTTGGGGCATGCCTCTCCGCTGGATGAGGGAAAATACACCTCTAGTGTTCCAGCTGCTTTGGCTAGTGCAGCGTGTAGGTCGAGCCGGTTAGTTTCAGAGCCGGGATCAGCACAGGGAGGTGGGGTGCATTAGCTGTCCGGCTGTCGTGCCCATGGGGAGCCACAGTCTAGTGAAGTCATGCGGTCAGCACTCAGTGGGTATTTGGGCCGCACCTGGTGGTGCTTCTGGATCACTCCTGATGGGGACCGTATGCAGTGTCAGGGATTTGAAACACTCCACCCGCTGTGCTCTCTGTCACTTGTTAAACATTGTTTTAGCCTGTACTCTGTGCTGTTTGTGCTGTGGCAGGTGGCTTGTCAGGTGCCTCCACAGGCCAGCTGCCTCGCCTTGTTCACCCCCAGGGAGGACTTGGCACCTCTTTAGGGCAGTCCCCCCGCCTCTCAGGTGTGAGGTTGTCTGGAAGCATCTAAGCCCTCTGGGCTGGTGGGAATGCAGCTGCTGCCCCCGGGATAGTTAGAAGCTTAGTTGGACCTGGGCGCGCTGTGGGGTCAGGACCTTCAGAGCAGTGTTCCAGGGTGCAGCGCCTGTTGCTGTGGTCAGAGGTGCCGGAGAGCCCTGTGTTCTGGGGGACCCCGAGGCTCGGATGCTGTAAGTAGTGCAGTGCCTTTTCCCTGGGTGAGATTAGTGCCAGGCTCTAAGAGTTACTTAGTGGAAATCCTTTTGTTTATTTGGTGTTTGGGCCACACCACGCGGTGTTCAGGGGTAACTCCTGGCTCTGCACCCAGGAATCACTCCTGGCCGTGCTTGGGAAGCCCTGATGCTGGGGACTGAACCCTGTGTCACTGTGTGCGAGGTGAGCAAACTGCCTGCTGTACCATCCCTCTAGCCCCGAGTGGGATTCTTTTAATTTAAAGTTGTTTTCAGGTTTTTATTTGAGTGCTCAGGGCTTACTCCTGGCACAGGCTCTGGGACCACTACTAGTGAGGTTTAGGGGATCATGTGTTGCCACTGATGGAACCCAGGGTGGCTGTGCACAAGGCTAGCACGTTGTATTTCTCTGGCCCCTAAAATTACTTAAAATATTTATTAACCATTTTTGGTTTGTTTTTGGGCCATAGCAGCAGTGCTCAGGGGCAGCTCCTGGCATGGTGCTGGGGCTTGATCCCAGGTCACCTGCGTGTGGAGCCAGTGCTCCACCTGCTGGGCTCACTCTGGCCCTGACAGGGGAGTTTGGTGACCAGGGTCCACAGTTTCCATCATTGCTGTGCTTCAGAATTCTTTCTGGCATCTTCAGAAATTCCTGACCTGTGGCCAGAGGGATAGGATAGGGCCTAGGGTATCTTCCTTACATACAGCTGACCCTGATGTGATCTCCAGGACCGCACTGTCCTCTCCAGGGTCTCTGGGTGCAGCCCTGGAGCCTCCAGCACTACTGGGGTGCCCCAGTAGTCTCTGGCATCCTGGCAGCACCGTTGCATCGAACCGCTGGCCTGGACCCTCTAGGAATGGTTTCTGGATCCTCTGAGCACTGGTTGGATGCCTCACACAGCTTCCCCCCTCCCCCCCAATAGTATCGGCTAGGGCCAGAGAGGGACTCCCTGGGCTATTATTTTGGTTTTGGGGCCGCACCTTGTGCTCAGGGTTATTCCTGTCTCTGCACTCAGGGATGACTCCTGGTTGGGCTCAGGGAACACCATATGGGGTCCCGGGGATTGAACCCAGGTCACCCATGTCCTAGGCAAGTGCCCTACGTGCTATACCCTTTCTGGCCCCAAATACCAATTCTTTGCAGCATCCCGGAGGAGGGCCTGGTATTGGCCATCAGGGCTCCTGCGGCGGTCTCCTTGCAGGAGACTGTTTCGGATTGGTCATAATCTGCTGAAATGTCAGGAGGACTGGGGTACTTTGAACCTCACGTGGGCATATGGAGTGGGTTTGGTGACTCAACTGAAGTGTCTGGGGTGGAGTCTGGCTGGGTGCAGAGCACCCCTGCGGGTGCAAAACCTTCTACCCTCTCACAGGCTATGGTGGCATGTTACCCTGGCAACGGACTGGGCTATGTGAGGCACGTGGACAATCCGCACGGTGACGGCCGCTGCATCACCTGCATCTACTATCTGAACCAGAACTGGGACGTCAAGGTAGGGTGTAGGGGGGCAGGTGCGTCCACTCCATTTCCTACTTTCCGTTCAGCTTCCGGCATGTTCTTTCTCTTATCAGCCGTGGGGGTGAGGAGTGGGGGACTGCTTCTGGGAAATGGCACCTCTGCTCCAGCAGCCCCTCCCCTCCTACATAGGGGGGACAGTGCTATCCAGCTGACCCCAGGCTAATGAGCCTGTCCGTTTCCTGTCTCTGGTAGCTTCCTGCCCATTGCCGTGGGGATGTGGACTCAGGGGGTGTCCTTCATTGTAAGAGCCTGAGTGGTGGGGAGGGTGTGGTCTGTGCTGTCTGCGCCCCTGGGGAGGGGCTCTGGGTGGGCCCCCAGCTGCTCCCAACTCAACCACTGGCCCACACACAGGTGCATGGCGGCCTCCTGCAGATCTTCCCCGAGGGTCGGCCAGTTGTGGCCAACATTGAGCCACTCTTTGACCGGCTGCTTGTCTTCTGGTCCGACCGGCGGAACCCCCACGAGGTGAAACCAGCCTATGCCACCAGGTAAGCCCTTGCCTCCTCAGCGTGTACCTCAGTGCTCAGGGGTGAGCACTGCAAGCGAAGCCAGAGGGGGCCAGAACGCAGCTTGGAAGGGTGGGCTCTGGGGTTGCTGAGGGGGGCATGGCTGGAGCAGGGAGGTGACCTCTGCCCTCACACCCTCAGGTATGCCATCACCGTCTGGTATTTTGATGCCAAGGAGCGCGCAGCAGCCAAAGACAAGTACCAGCTAGGTACCAACCTCCCAAGCTCTGCCAGCCAGCCCCTTCCTCAGGCCCTTCCTAGTCCTTTTGTGCAGCCCTCTTCACCCCGTCTCCCCCCCTCCCCCCGTCCTTGCAGGAGCCCCCCGATGTCTTCTCCCATCTTCCTGGGATCTGGGATTTTCAAGCCTTTTGTTCGTGCCTTGGTGACCCATTGTCCCACTTTCTCCCTTCCAGCGTCAGGACAGAAGGGCGTGCAAGTGCCCGTCTCCCAGCCCACCACGCCCACCTAGCACCTTCCTGGGCCACATGGACAGAAGCTTGCCCAGGCTTCCAGAGCCAGCCTCAGGCGCTGCGCCTTTCCTGCCACTGCTGCTGCTTCCGACCCTGCCTCTGTCCTGCCTGGTGTGGAGGGCAAGGAGGGATCTCTGCTGGCCCAGGCTGGGCTCGTGAATGGGGCAGTGCCCACTCTTCCTTGAGCTGGGGTCTGGCCCGCCCCATCGTGCCCCTGGCAGGCGTGGGCAGCTGGAAGGCAACATGGCCTCTTCCCGCCAGGATGCAGAATCTGGAACTGGGCTGAGTCATGGTCTCTTGGCTGGCAAAGGTTTGTGGGGGGCGGGGCAGGGATCTCTGATTCCCCCACCCCCCCCAACTCCTCCAGTTGGAATGTGAAGTGACTCCCTGGCCCTTTCGGCCACAGCGCCTATCGGACTGGGCTGCAGGATTCTTGGGCAGGATGAAGGTGCCGGGAGGAGCATGGTGTCCATCCCGTCAGCCACGAAATAAAAGTTTACCTCAGCTGCACTCCGCCAGATCCCTTTTGGGCAAGGAGACACTGCGTCGCCTCAGCTGCAATTTGGGGCCTTTATTGATTGGAGGAGGGCAAAGGGGTCTGAGCTGGTGGGCCTAACCTCAGCGGGCTACCAGGTGGAGCTGGAAGGCTGGGGGCACATTGCCCAGGCCGGTGCACTGCGGGGTGAGGTCAATGTTGGCCGGGCTCCCAACGGGGCGCAGGCTGAACCTCTGCAGGATGGCCGTGAAGAAGAGAAAGATCTCGGACCGGGCCAGGCCCGCACCCAGGCACATCCGCTTGCCTGGGGACACAGAAGGACAAGCTAAGAATCTCAGGCACCCATGGCCTGGGCAGCTGGCTCCCCACCTTGCTGCTTACAGACCTGGGGCAAAGGGCATGAAGGCATCTTTGCCCTGGAACTCGCCCTTATCGTCCAGGAAGTTGCCAGGGTTGAAGTGCTCAGGGTCCTTGAACTGGCTGGGGTCCCAGTGAGCAGACACCAGTAGAGGAATCACGTAGGTGCCCTGAAGGGGTGCAAGAGAAATCAGGGGTTTTCATGTGTTTGGGGCCATACCCAGCATTGCTCAGAGGGTTACTCCTGGCTTTGTGCTTGGGAGTCTTGGAATAGTGTTCAGGAGAGTGTGTGGTGGCAGGGGTCAAACCGGGCTTGCAGCACAGAAAGCAAGTGCTTATATGGGCCAGAGATAGGTGCAAGCAGATTTGTTCTGCACACAGCCAACCTGGGTTGATCACTTATATCCCATATGGTCCCTTAGTACTGCTCCAAGGGATCCCAGAGTGCAGAGTCAGGAGTAATCCCTGAGCGTCACCAGGTGTGACCTCGCAGCAAGCATGTGTTTTGGGCCACCAGATCTCCAATACTGCCTTCTATCTACAGAAGTCTTAGTGCTTGTGCCTTGTGAGGCCACCAGGTAGTACTTGGGGATCCCGTTTGTTCCAGCCCTTTGAAGTAACCTCTTCCTATACATCCTCCCCTGCTAGTTTAGGAGCCAATAAGGAGGGGGCAGGGCTGTTGCCCCAGTCCTCATAAGTCCTGTGCACATGTCCCCAATCTCAGCCCCACTGCCTGGAATCCTCAGACTTAGTGGGCACCTTGGGCAGGAAGTGGCCTCGCAGGTGGGTGTCCCGGATGACGGCACGGGGCAGTCCCAGGGGCAGCACGCTGATGAAACGCTGGATCTCATGCAGCACAGCGTTGGTGTAGGGCAGGTGCTGGCGGTCATCTAGGCTTGGGGTGCGGCTGCGACCCACTACGGAGTCTAACTCAGCTTGCACCTTGGCTGTGGAGGGTGTGAGCAGCGCTGAGTATGTTACACAGCCATCCTCAAACCCTAGGTTCCCCCATCCCCAGCTCTTCAGACAGACCTGCCACCTCCGGGTACTTGAGCAGAATGAGGAGCCCATAACGCAGGGTAGTGCTCGTGGTCTCGGTGCCCCCAAAGAAAAGATTGTGCGTGGTCATCACCAGGGACTCCTCATGGAAATAGGTGTCCAAGTGGTCCTGTTCCTGTGGGCGGTGGAGGGGGGCGGTGCTGTGTGAACTGGGTGTCTAGTGGGTGGTAGGGAGAGTTCAGGGTAGGGTAGGCGGGCTGCACCTTATCCATTTGGTCGAGAAAGCAGTCGATGAAATCCCGGGGCTCTCCAGGCTCCCGTGTCTCCCGGTGCCGCTGGATTTGCTCGGAGATGAAGACCCGCAGCTCAGCGAAGTTTCGGAAGATTTGGTGGTGGGGGCCCGGGAGCCAGTCCAGCAGGGAAGGAAAAATGTTGTACATCTGGGGGAACAGGGTCTCAGTGGGACCTTGAGCGGGACTACAGATTGCCCTCCAGGTCTAGAAGCAGGGTGTGGGGGTGTATATTCTAGACCTCTTGCATTCGAACTTAGTGGTCCCATGCTAATAATGCTCATCTATGCATGCTCTGTTGTGACCGCCCAGGGGAGGGCCGGTCGACCGACCACTCACCTCTCCCCATCTAGTGCTCATGATGTGGAAGTTATCAAGGAAGAGATCCAGAAGCCTCAGGAACTCCGGGTTCTCATAGCCATAGCGGTTCCCGAACACCACGGAACAGATAACGTTTGCTACGGCGCTATCGAGCAGTCTCCGGGGGTCCAATGGGGCTCCTGGTAGTGGGGACAGCGCGCGGACATAACGCTCTGGCACGACCCTCGGCTAGTTGTTGCTTAGCCTTAACTGGCTTCTTTCCAACCCACCCCGTACTCTTCCAGTACCCCTTTCCAGCAATCCCCTGGACACGCCCGCACCAGGCCCTTTTGCCTTCCCAGCACTGTCACACCATTGGTGGCTTGGAATTCCTCAAGCAGACATGCCGCTTCCTCCAGGACGCGCTCCTCGATGGTCCGCGTACCCAAGCCGAACTCCTTGAGCGCTCCGATTGCAAAATTGCGCAGCCTCTGCCAGCGCTGCCCGTTAGAAAACACGATGCCTGGGGAGAGGGAGCAGCAGGGGAATCAAGGCTGTGAGTTAGCCACGCCCTACCCCGAAAGCTTCCAGGCGCGGGGCCCGGCCGCCTCACCACCCTCGGTTTAATTTCTTTTCCAGGCCGCTCGTGTTTTTCCAGCACAGCTCACACCGGGGCCCATCGCTGCATGCAGGTCCCGCTCCAGGACCAGAGCGTGCGCCTTTTCGCTTCCGTGTTGCGCGTTCCTATTGGCTGCCCGAGGGGTGGGCCTTCCGTCTTATTCCCGCCCACCTCCTCCTTGTGGATCCTCGTTGGCTCGGGCTGCTCCGCTAGGCCCCACCCCCGTGCCCGGCCCTGCCCCTTGCCTCCCCAGCTGAGAGCGGGCATTTCCAGCGAGTTCAGCGTCTCGCGTGCCTCACCGTTTCCGCGCGTGAAGCGTTCGAAGATTGCCACTGTCCCGCGGCCGGAGAAGGTGTCCGCCTGCAGTACTAGCGCGTCCCGCAGAGCTGCGTAGCCGCACAGCACCACTGCGGGGCGCGGGCCCAGCCACACCGTGAACACCGGGCCCCAGCGGCCGGAGAGCTACCGGGAGCGGGGGCTCAGCGAGTGCCTGGATGGCAGCTACCGCCCCGCTTAGAGACTTTCCGAACCCCCAGCGCATGGTACCCTTCCTCCAGCCTCAGGAGTCCCTATCCGCAGCATTCTCTTAGCATCTAGAAGACTGGGGGTCTGGACCCTTAGTATTCCCATCACCCACCTTGAACCAGACAGCCCCGCTGAGCCCCCTATCTCCCCGGCAATAAAGAAATTCCCGCCCCTGACTCCTCCCACCCACCCAGGACTTGAGACTGGGGCGTCGCCACTGCTCCACATGAACCGGGAGCTGAGGACCCCACTTTCCCTTCATCCCTCCAGATGTGATTGCCCAGCACAGCTGCCATCTGGTTTCCCAGCCGCTTGCCCAGCCCACCTCCCCCCAAGTTTCATTCCTTCGGGGACCTCACGTTTCCAAAACTCAGGGGCTCCCAACCCTCGGCCTGGTCCCATTTCCGAGAACTAGGAGACATGTTCCCCAGTGCCACCCTCACGAATCCCCAATTTTGTCCACCTCCCCGCTCCCCTAACCAGGGCTACCTCCATGAGCGCACGGTCCAGGCGCCCCGACTTCAGCTGCACGAGGTTCCCCAGCAGCGGGAGCGGCGTGGGCCCTGGGGGTAGAACCCCTTGCTTGCCCCGCGCCCCCCAACCGCGCCTGGCTAACGCCAGCAGCAGTAACAGCAACAGCAAAGCTGCGATGCCTGTGACCATCGTGTCCTCCTCGGCTCGCGACTGCGGTGCCGCTTCCTCTCTATTTCATTGCCTTGGGGTCTTGGGAGGAGCGGGGGGGCGGAGACGAGCCGTGGGAGGGGTGGACGCCCCGTCTGCGGCTCCTAACCCCAGCCCGAGGTCTCCGCTACGCCCCTGCCCTAGCTCGTCAGTGCGAAGCTTCCCCTGGCCTTTGGGGGCGCCTGCCCCAACCTGCCCAGTTTGGCAACCAGCGTCAATATCAGGTGCACCTTTCTGTGCCCCTTGCCCTGTTGGGACCGTTTATTTTGCTTGTCGGGGGTGTACTTCCGAAGCTTCTACTCCCTGTAACTTCCAGTTCCTAAACAGATGCTCCTCCGCCCCCAGCCTCCCCGCGCCTGGGACTTACGACCCTCTCCCTAGGATTCTTCAGTGTTTCCCCCACGAGTGAGCGCCCTCTTCTCCGCATCCTTATGCTCTGCCCTGAACTCCTGCCCGCCCCCCCCCCCCCGCCCCCTCTCAATTTCTTTTTCACTCTCTGCCTCCCAGCCGCCAAGCCTCACCTCCTCCAAATTCTGCACCCAGGGCTGGAGTGATAGTACAGCAGGTAGGGCGCTTGCCTTGCGCACGGTCAACCTGGGTTTAATTACCAACATCCCACATGGTGTCCTGAGCACCACCAGGAGTGATCCCTGAGCACAGAGCCCATCCAAAGCCCTGAGCACATGTGCGTGTGGCTCAAAAACCCCAAACAAAATAAACTCTTAAAATCAATTTTTTTTCTTTGCTTTTTGGGTCACACCCAGCGATGCACAGGGGTTATTCCTGGGTCTGCACTTAGGAATTACTCCTGGCGATGCTCGGTGGGGGATTCAAACCTGGGTCGGCTGGGTCGGCTGCGTGCAAGGCAAATGCCCTATCCGCTGTGCTATCACTTCAGCCCCCAAATCAATGTTTGTGAAGGAATGCAATACCTTTCATCCTCCCCCCCCCCCCCATGGGGACAGTATACCCAGTGATGCTCAAGGCTTATTCCTGCCTCTGTGTCAGGGGTCACTCCTGCAGGAGCTTGGGGTTCTCTATGAGGTGCTGGGGTTCCAGCTGAGCTTGGGCCAGCTAAGAGCCTTACCCACAGTCCTAATGCTCCAGCCTTCATCCTAACTTTTGTGTTTCTGTATAGAACTCAGACTCCACTTCTGTCTTTCGCTGAATCTTTGTCACCGTCTATTCCTGTCTTGGCATCTCATCTTTTTGGGGGTGGGTGGGTGGGGTGGGGCTGAGTACCTGGTGGCACTCACGGGAACATGAAGATCTGGAGTACATCTTCAAGGCACATGTTCCAGCCCTGGGCCTTAACTCCAGAACTTCCCAGCTCTCTGCTTCCCTTATTCTTCAAGCCCCTACCAGTGGCACTCTCTCTCTGGCCCACCATGGTCTCTTCTGTCTTTGTTTCAGACTCTCGCCTTCCTTCTAGCTGCTGTCTTTCTCCCTCCCCCCACTCCACACACCACTTATTTCTTCTCTGTCTGTTCTTTTGATTCTCAGGAGTTCTCTCTGCAGGACACAATGTATCTCTCAGACTTTGCCCTTCTCCCCACCTTCCCACCTTTCTTCCTCTTTCCTCCCTCCCTCCCTCCCTCCCTTCCTCCCTCCCCTTCCTCCTTCCTTCCTTCCTTTTTTTCTTTCTTTCTTTCTTTTTTTTTTTTTGCTTTTTTGGGTCACACCCGGCGATGCACAGAGGTTGCTCCTGACTCTGCACTCAGGAATTCCTCCTGGCGGTGCTCAGGGGACCATATGGGATGCTGGGAATCAAACCCAGGTTGACCGTGTGCAAGACAAATGGCCTACCCGCTGTGCTATCACTCCAGCCCCTCTTTCTTTCTTTCTTTCTTTCTTTCTTTCTTTCTTTCTTTCTTTCTTTCTTTCTTCTCTCTCTCTCTCTCTCTCTCTCTCTCTCTCTCTCTCTCTCTCTCTCTCTCTTTCCTTCTTTCTTTCTGCTCTGGACCTCACCTGGATGTGCTCAGGGCTTACTACTGGCTTTGCCGTCAGGATCACTTCTAGCCATGCTCTGGGGACCCCATGGGGTACCAGGAATCAAACCCAATAGGCCACATGCAAAGGAAGCTCTCTCCCCGCTGGACACTCTCATCAGCCCCTCCATCCTTCTCTTTATCTGTGCATTCTCTCCATCTTTTTTCCTTGGGTCCTTTTGGGATCTCTTTCTCACCATCCCCCTCTGCGTCCCTGATGGAGGCCTGGGGCAGACTTCATGATTGACCAGTGGTGGGAACTGCGTGGGGATTAAGGAGCGTCAGGTGGGGACCGCCTATAAGCCTCACCTCAGCAGGCCCCATGCCCAGCTGAGCGTGTCCTAGCTTCTGGAGGGCCTGGGGCAGACGAGCCTTGTTCTGTCTGGCCAGCCAGCTCCACCCTTGGCTGTGGGCATCCTGTTGTCTTGACTCTGGCTTAATGAAGTTGGACCTGCCTGGTCATTGGGAAAAGATGGTGTCAGCAGTAACACCAAACCATCAAGTGCGTGACCAGGTTGAAAATCCGCACTTGGGGCTAGACTCACCCCAGAGGAGGAAAGTATCATCCCTGAGAGGGAAGAGAGTTGGGGGAGTCTATCTCTTTGGCCTCTCCTGCCCTTCCTTTCTGTCTTTCTCTATTTGTGCCCCCACCCACTTTTTGTTTGGTTTGGTTTGGTTTGGGGGGTCACACCAGGCTCTGCTCAGGGATCACACCTGGCAGTGTTCAGGGGACCATACTTAGTTCCAGGGATCAACTCAGGGTCAGCTGCATACAAGACAAGTGCCTTACCCATATACTATTTCTCTGTCACCCCCCCTTTTTGTTTTTTGGGTCACACTGGCGATGCTCAGGGGTTACTCCTGGCTCTGCACTCAGGGGTCACTCCAGCCAGTGCTTGGGGAACCCTATGGGATGCCAGGGATCAAACCTTGAATCAGCTGTGTGCAAAGCAAACACCCTCCCCTGTACTATTGCTCCAATACCCCCTGTTTTTTGGGGGGAGGGTCTCTCCAGGGGTGCTTCTTGACTTCTGCTTGGTAGACATGAGGTGCTGGGGACTGAAACCGGGGCTCTGACGGACAAAGCATGTGCTCCAGCCCTTTCTGGGATACTCCCTAGTTTCTCCCCTCTATCTTCTTTCCCCTTGCCTCTCTCTTCCAGTCTGCCTCTCTTTACCTCAGTCCTTGTGTCTCTCTGCTTTCCTCCATGTCTCTGACAGTGAGATGGATTGAAGCAGTGTTAGAACCCGCCTGGGTCCCACAGCAGACCTCTGCTCATATCTAGCTGTGTTATCTTGGGCAAGTCACTTAACCTCTCGAAGCCTCTATTTGCTCATTTGGGAAAAGGGCCCACAAGATGTTCTATTTCCTGGCTGGAGCAATAGTACAGTGGGTAGGATGTTCACCTTGCACGCGGCCGACCCAGGTTTGATCCCCAGACTTCCATATGGTGCACCCGCTGCACTATGGTTTCAGTTATCATCACCCACATCTTCCATCGGGAGGTTTAAGGGTGGCCTTGAGCACAGCAGGTGAAAGGAAGCTCCTGTTAGTGTTAGCAATTGTGATTTCTCAATCTCTGGGGCTGGTTTAGCTTTCCATGCTGTCACTTTTTCTCTGCACCCCAGCATCTCTCTGGGGTGCCCTTTCACTCTGCCCTTAGTTTCTTCGCCTCTCAGAGGCTCAATTCTCCAGTTCATCCTGAGAAAACAACTTTCTTTCCTTTCTTTTTTTCTTTTTGTTTTGTTTTGTTTTGTTTTGGGGCCACACCTGACAATGACTCCAGGCTCTGCATTCAGGAATCACTCCT